AAAAATGATAAACAGGCACTCCTGGAGAGCACCTTCCAGTTTCAGCTATGAACACACGATATGAGGGGCACACAGAGCCTGGTGGTGGCAGAGATGCACTGAACACTTCCTAATCCATCCCTCTGCTACCAGCAGCAACACCTCACATACTGCATTCCCACCAGCACCACGACCAAGCTCTGGGTTCAGAGACCCACTGTTTGGAAAGGGGCTGCTCCCATTCCCCCCATCCCACATACACATTCTATATTCCATACATATACAATTGGAAAAATTACAGATGGCAAACACCAGAGCTGCTGTAGAAGACAAGCACTCACAGGCAAGCAACAGTGCTTGACCAAGCTAATATACTTCCAATACACTTCTAATCTCAACAGGAGCTTTTCACGTTTGATAGGATTTAGTTTAAAGGCAGTAGGACAGTAAAGAGCAATGTTTCACACTGGCCTAAGGGAGAAATGGCACAGAATTAGTTGTTCAGGATTCACATAAGGCAAAAACAGTCAAATGAGGACAAAAACCAGTGCATTAAGAACAGCTTTTCACCAGAACACTGCAGGCATACTGTAATTAAGAAAACTGTATGACCTGGATTATTAACTGCCTTTTCTTGTTATGACTCACTAGAAGACACAGCAGCTAGTCACATCTCACCGAGGTTTACCAAGTGTGACACTTGAAATAACAGTCCTTGTGATGGGCTTGGCCATCTGCAGCAAGATCAGGGCTGGAGTTTCCTTTCTGCCTTGCTCCTGTTATCACCAGTGTAATGGGTTGGTGGGAAATGCCAAAACAGTAAAGGACCTACTACTAAGAAACTGCTCTTGAGCTGGACTTTCTCACTGGAATGTTTGCGCTGTGTTTCTAATCCATCACCTTGCTTCCTGGTTTTGTTAATGCATGCCAACACCAAGCTGGTTGTGCTTCATCACTGCAAGTAAAATAATACAAAAAGGTGTCCAATACTACATACGTACTGAGGATCAAAGCTGGTGAGCTGGTGACAAGTGAAATGAATGAATGGATTACTATTGGCATCCTGTGCAAATAGAAACTGTGTGCTGGACAAGACAGACCAAGCCTCAAAGAGAAGGAGGGCTGATAAAGACAGGGAATACAGGGAGGCAAATAGCATAACATTTAAGAATAACACATCGTGTTTAGACTTAATATGGAGTTATCTTAGTAACTGAGTCATATTTTTAACAGCTAGCACAGAAAGCAATGCACCACAGGAAGGGACCAGAGGGCAAGGAGTTGTTGGCATGCAAGGTTTTCTTCCTATCGAGTGGAAGGAGCAGCATGGGGAGAGGAACCGATCTTCGATCAGATATGAGATGAGGACAGGCCAAGAAGGATTGCAGGAGTACCGACAAGGATTCGATGTGAGAGAGATGAAAAAGCCAAGCGAGAGGAAGTTTTCTGAATGGATGTGGTCTGGGCAAAAGTCAGCGTTCAGCGAAGCCAAGAGAAAAGGATGTTGCGTTAGTCGAGGCATGATGAGACAACAACTTGGACACGAGTTTTAGCTGTGAGGAAGAAAAGGTTAAACACTTATGGCTGAAAACACTTAATCTAGGAATGGGAAAACAAGAAGATGTTTATTGGCCAGAAATAGAAAGAAAATCAATCCACCACCTGAGCTGTATCAGCTGAGACAAGTCCTCCCAGGAGACCTTCCTTCCCCTCCCACTTTGTCCAGCTTCCTCCTTCAGCCCTGCCTCCCTCCCCAGCTTTCTGTTATCATTTGGATGTCTATCTTTTCTTCTGCAAAGGGCTTGACCAAGGAAAACAGAGAGCTTGTAAATCCGCCTGCCTGGATGTGGCTTTTTGATGTCTGGAGTGCAGAGACACACTGCTGAAATTTATGTTCTCCAAGGAGGACTGAGAAAGGGAGAAATTTATGTTAGGAAAAAGTGACTGTCATCTCAGTTTATCTCCCAGTTTTGTAATGGAAAACAGGCTTCCTACAAACACATACACACAAAGCCCAGCATGAAACCGCTCATGAACTGGAGCACATTAACCAAGAACCATTCCATAACGAGTGGTAATAACAATATTAATAACGTGATAAATCACACACAGTCTCCAACGTGCCTATCTCCCCAGCAGGGAGAAGGCACCCTGTTGAGAAGCAAAGCAGCAGCACCTCTGTGCTCTCCCATCCTTCATTCTGCCTGTATCAATCACACTGGGTCCCAGAGCAGCACAGTGACCACAAACAGCAGCCCTCACAGAAGCTGTTGTGCCTTGCACCAGCAGCAGATAAAGCACAGAGCTCTACCAGAGGGTGCTTCAAAGCCTCAAAGTGACAGTTCCAAGCCCACCCCAAACACGTGCACCATCTGAATACGCCCAGCTCCTCGTGCTGAATCAGGCAGGTAATTAGTGCAACTCAGGCAATGAGCTGGAAGGAGTTAAGCTGCTCAAGTAGAAACGTCCTCATTTGTATATTAAAAACCAAACAGATTGGCATTCCTGCTCAATGAGCGTGCTTTTCAATCCTTGGTTCATTTGGAGTTCTGAATTTACAGCAGGAAGCAATATAGATCACGCTTCAGACAACTACAGTTTATTTCTTGAGACTGTTTGCAAAGAAAAGTGAAACTTGCATTAAGATAAAGAGCATCTATTTGAGCTGCTCCCAAATAACCTGAATGCAATGCTACTTCAATCTCTGAAGCTCGCACCATCTCAAAGTATTTAAACCATTCTGCAAGCGTTTAGACAGGAAGCTTTTCTATACTCACCCTGGAGGAAGTGGTGGCATTACTGATCTATGTCCTGCACTACATTAAATGTGGCTGTGGAGTTATTTATGTGCTTTTCCTGACTTCTTTTGACACGGGAGTTGATTGCAGTGCTGTATGATTACGTCTGCATCCTCGAATCTTTCTCAGCTGGAAAGTCTCAAGTTCCAAGCTGGGATTCCCTCTCCACCCCCTTCTCATGCACTTAACCCTCCTTCTGCTGGAAGCATCCAGTAAACATCCATGCAAAGCTTTGAGGTACAGAGGCACCAGAGAGGCAGGAAGCGGGCAGGCTGCATTTTAAGAGGAAAACACAAGACATTTTCTCAGATGCTCCCCGCTTTTTAACTCAGTGCTACAAGAAAACACTTTTTAGTGACGGTCTTTTTAACTATGGACTCTTAGAAACTGATCCCAGAGGATCAGGGATTTCAAGTTGTTTTGTTTTTTTTTTCTAACTGTTTCTTTCTTGAATTCTTTTTCTTATGATCTCTATCAACCCTCCTCTTCCCGCTCTGTTCCCAGACCACCTACAGACACAAGCATTGCTCACAAGTGAGACATTTGCTGTGGGCTACAAGCAAGCATCTGTGTACAAGAACCTATCTCATTGGTTTCAGTGGTTGCATCTAACCCTACACAGCCCTCAGATGTTGGGAACTGTGGAGAAGAGCAGCATTGTGTGCTCTCCCTGCATGGACACTTGTGCAGAGAGAAACAGCTGGCACCTGATTTCTAAGCCAAAGTCAATCACAGAATCATTAAGGTTGGAAAAGACCTTTAAAATCATCAGTGCCAACTATCAACCCATCACCACCGTGCCCACTGACCCACATCCCTCATCCTGTGACCTCCTGTGGCCAGGCATGGCTGCCACTCCTGCTAACCATCATCTTATTCAGGATGCAGATGGGCTGAAAGACCAGAGACAGCACCCTACAGCACAGCTCTGGTGGCTCAGAAGGTTTTGAGACGCTAAGAACCCTCTGCTATCTGGCTCGTGGGTTTTATTCCTGAGTTTAAGACTGAACTCATCACCAGATTGGGATTTTGAAAGGAGTTTACTTCAAAGACACTGCGAAGAACGGTTCTCTCCCACCCTTACTGACTGTATCCCATTCCTAGGGCTATCTGGGTACCTTCTCATTACAAGTTTCAGACACTACAGGAAATCAGGACAGCAGCAAAGCCCTCAGCCTTTTCTACTTCCACATTCTAATTGTATGGCTTTCAAATTTAGGATACTTCCAGCATCAACAGGCTGTGCTTTACACCACATGTTGGGATAGAAGAGCAGCAACATCCTCTGCAGTTTTGAGTCCAGGGAATGAATTTAACGACCGAGGGCTTTACTGAATGGATAGACTGCTGTGGAGGTGCTCAAAGCTGCAGGACTGTGGGAACCACGGGTACCCCATGAGATAACTCTGGCACACTCACAATGGTGTGCAGCTGCTGCAGATCAATGCATGCTCTGTTACCATCACTTGGTGAGCTGCAGCATCACGTGGGTGGATTTGGTGACAGCCCATCAAGAACAGGAGATACCTCAAGCTGAGGAATCCGCCTCTCCTGACAGTTTGGTCCAGTCATTAATCTTATTTCATGCTTATTGTCAAACACTCTTTCTCATTTCCCACCTGAACTGGAGTGGCTTATGTTCATGTAATTCCCTCCCTGCCCAAAGCCAAGAGCTCAGCACCAGGCAGTGTTCTCCTCCCGAGGGAGACACTTCAAAAAGTGCTTTCATATCATCCTCTCCATTTGCCCAAGTCTGTGCACTGACTAAAGCAGCGAAGATTTAGAGGGACTCGGAGCCCAAAGTTTGCAACAAGGAGGGAACTCGAATATTTTCTGCCCTGTTCATTCCTGCACAGCACAGAATCCCCTATAGTGAAACGACACAGGTAAACAAAAACAAATAGAAGTATGTATATAAGCAATTCCCCACACATGAAACCTTCCCCCAAAAACGCAGCCACTTCCTGCGCATGGAAAAGGAAAGAAAGGATTTTCACAAACACTAAGGAGCAGTCAGACTTCTGCCACAGAAGAAAATCTGCATCAGAATGCATGCAAGTGTCAGGGCAGAAAGCAGAGAGATGCCCTGTTCTGTTTGCTGGCTGAAATGGTGAGAAGGAAAGTGCTGGAGAAGCTCCCAGTTACATTAGAATGCTCACTTTAATGAAACATGAAGCAATTCCAGGCAGAGCCCAAACCAGATGAAATACCCCCAGATGCTTACAAGCTATTTTACAACACTGTCAGTTATAAACAAGGCTTAAAAAACCTACAAAAAACAAAACAAAACAAAAGAATTAAATAAAAGCAGAGCTTGTAACTATTCTTCAGCCCCCCACCCTGCCCCTGCCTACCTCCAAAGCTGCTGCTCCTTGGATAAAAGGAGGACACTTTAGTCAATATTGTACTTCAAACACATGAAGGACTTCTTGCTGTGAACCCCCCTGGGCTGCGTGCTCAGCTGCAGACAACCTGAATGAATGAGAAGGAAGGAAGGGATTCAAAACAAATGGACAAACAGCTCCTTTCTCAGCTGCTCCACGATTCCTCCCACCTCCTCCTTCACGAACATTCGGGTTTTCTGTTTCTCCTCTGGTTTTGCTGAAGAGAGCAGGGAGCCCATTAGAGCAGGGGGATTAAGAGAGTTGAAGTGGGATTGAGTAATAAAACTGCTGGTAAATAACGGCAATTATGCAAGGCAGATGGCTCCAGCCAGAGCTCAGCATTTCAAAAGCACGGGGCAGAACTGCACTCTGCTGTACAGAGAGCACCTCGTTTGTGTCCAATTAAACAACACCAACCTGTGATCATTAGAGAAGAGCTGCCCTGAGAGGGGTAGGACAGCGGGGAGATGGGATGGAGGGCATCAAGTGGTGACTGCAACTGATGCTTCACCCAGGCTGGAAGGCAGAGCAGAGCACTCCATGCACCCCAAGCTACTGCTGCCTACTTGCATTAACACGAGTGCTTGCAAAAGAAGTTTTAATTTTGCTACCACGTGGGAAAAGCAGGGCAAAATCCGGTTATTAAACTGAAAAGGTTGATAATTAATTGCAGATGCATCATGTCCACACGGTGGTGGTTTTTTATATACTGGTAAGACAAAGAAGAGAGTTACTTTCCTGCTCACAGCTGCTTTCTCTGCCAGATGCAATTCAGAACGCAGCAGCCCAAGGGTTAAACATTTACTAGTTTTTAATTAGAGGTAGCTGGCTGAGCTCCTCTACTAAGATCAATGCAGCAAAAAACAATATAGGCTTTGCATAAGACTAGAAGGAAAGATTATGGTGGGAGAAGTAAAAAAACAACCATATCAAAAGGAAGTGAAAAGAGGGGAGAGACCATTCTAGCACTAAGAGCTGAACCAACCCCAGGCCAAGGGGGGTGTATGTACATATCTATAATGATTCTATATCATAGAATATATTCTATATCTATCTATGATTCTATGATATATTTATGGACATGTTATAATAGACACGTACACAAAGCAAATCAAAGAGTACTTTTCAATTAGTCCAGTGGTATCAGCCAGCTCCCAGTTGTTCCCTGCTTTACCAAGGAAGTCAAGGACAAATTTAATATATACTTATCTACTCATCTATTTAAAAATGTCCTAAATATATGTACAGGATATTTATTCTCCCTGTGGTAATAGCAAGAATAAAGTCCCTTTTACTTCAATTGACATGCTTTAATTCTCAGCTCCTGCTACGATGCACTGAAATTGGCAGGCAAACCCCAGCACGTCTTTAACAGAAATCCCAAAGATTCTGCAAGAAAAACAGGGAATCAGTGTGGACAATGGGGGGGTTTTACTGCTTTCAAATGAAATACCATGCATGTCCAGGCTGGGGCACAGCGAGGGACAAGGAATGGTCTGTCCTTCCAGCTGCCATCATAGCATAGGATGGAGCGACGTCGTGCTCAACTTCGCTTTCCATCCAAGCTTTTGTCAATCTGTTGCACAACTGGATTAAGTTTCCATTAAATAGGATGAAAAACCCGAAAGAAAATATTTACTGGAAGATTATACAGCATATATTAACTCACGCTCGACTCGAGCTGTTGGAAAGAGATGAAACCAGATAGTTTGCCTAAACATTCAAAAGCACAGCTTAACTCCTGTGTCTGGAAGAAGCACAGAACCTTTCCTTGCCTACTGGTTCAACGCAAATATCCACAGCCAGGAAAAGAATCCTAAAGATGTCATTTTTTTTTGCCCCAAGTATGAAATTTTATTAGGCTTAATTAGAAGACATTCTTCTTGGACAAATATAAACTTTGCCCATTTTAATAAGTAAGAAAAATAAGGCCAACAAGCACAACACGCTCTTGAATTAAACATCCCATGTGAAGCTGCGGATGAGGATAAAAACAGGTTTTCCCCCAGTCCCATCTGGTTTATCCCACCACTGACCAACTCTTGATGAGGTCCCCTGACCTATTCAGATGTTGAGTTGCATCCCACCCACCTCAGCTCTCAGCTTTGCACAGCTCCTTCCATGCTTCCATCAGCTCCTGCCTCCACCTGCTGCAGTTACTCACAGCTTTGCGGGGTATAGAACAACCCCTATATACACCAAACCACGTTTAGCAGAGAAATTGAGCACGTCAGCTCGTAGCAGCACATTACAAGAGCAATCTCAGCTTACCCCAAGCAGCAGGGTAACTAAATGACTTTCTTATTCCTGGCTTCAGTCAAGGAAATGAGGTTTGACTGTCGAGTACTCATCTAAATCAGCAGAGCTTACAGAAGCGCTTTGGGATGATCACGGGTGAAAGGGCCATTCTTATTCCTGGTGATGGAAAACAGTTTTTGCTGAATTATAGCTGTGGCTCCAGATTTTCAGTGCCTAGATAGGAATTCTGAAGGAATTACCAATACAAGTTGGTGCAAATTACTCTGCAGTAATTTGTGTGGGTGTGGTTTCTTTTCTTCATTAGATATCAGCTTCCTCACTGTGTTTTCTAACCTGAAACTCCAGAGCAATTCTGTGAAGCAGACAGATATCAAAGCCACGGCTACCAGAGCGTAGCAAACACGTGCCAGGTCCTCCATGATGGAGACAAGCACTAGAACAACATCTTGGCCAGCATTCCTTGCTTTGCAGGCAAACTGTCAATACTGAAATGTCTAAAACTGTGCCTAACGAAGGCATTCCAGTTTATTTGGGTCACAGAAGGGTGCTCGTTTTTATAGTTTTGTTTTGCAAGGCAAAATATGTAAAACTAATAAGGAATAAAAGAAAGGAAAACAAAACCAGAAACGAAACAAGCCAACAATGTATGATTCTTGGTCATAGGTTCTCACCCCCAGCCTCTTGGACTAAAGCAGCGTAAGGAGAAAAAAGAAATGATTTTAAACCACTAGAAGCTGCAAATAAGCAAAGGAGACAAAATGAGAACTCATTCCTAGCAGATCAACCACAATGGCCAAACAGTTCTGGTGGGCAGAACTACCTCTGTGTGGCCGACCTGGATGGAGAGCCAAGCCAAACCCTCAATACTGCTGCAAGAGCATCTTAAATACAGGTAGGATTTCTTACTGCTGCTACGTTACTGTTATGAAGATCTCTGTATGAACACACTTGCACAGGACCTTACAGATTCTTCATAGTTACAAGCTTGTCCTGAAATGCTCTTCTCTGGAATGTCTGGTTTGCACATGACATAGCCTGTGATGTCTAGAAAACATATAAAACATTCTTGAAAAGAAGTCATTTCCTCCGTGGACAAAGACATAAATCCTCCAACTACATAAAATCTAAGGGAGCAGGGACAACAATTACTCACAGGAATACCTGACTCAGTGCTCAAGTCTCTTTGAGCCATAAACACAACGTGACACAGCTGAGACTAAACAACATTCACGGCCCAGGAAAAACCCATGTCTTGAGGAACACTCAGCCAGAACATCTGAATGCACAGAAGGACCTTAACATGGTCCTCTGCTTACCTACATGTTTCAAATGATTTATACACTCTCCACACTGGTGAAAGTTTCTCCTGAAATCTAGCCAATGCTACGCAGTCACTCTGAGCTGAAGACTTGAGCATGCAGCACTCTAATGGCTAAAGGAAACCTCTCTTGAACTCAGTTTTTTCCTCATACGCTTCATCTTCTACTTGAGCTGAAAAATGCAGAGAAAAAAAAAACTTCATCATATCATAAAGACAGGTATTGCTACAGTTAAAATCTGTGTGTGTGTTCCTCGTGAAAAAAGGAGATGCTCAGGGCTCAAAAGGAAAGCTGGGCAAGAGAAGGACTCTCTGATGAAGACAGGAAAGGCTCTTTGCAGCAACGGTGTGGTATGTGGCAGCACGCAGGTGTGCCATCCCTATGCGTACTCAGTGTCATTTCCAAGAGATAAATTATTATTAAACACTCAAATGCACAGCCTTGCTTTATTTTTAGGCTTCTGTTTGGGTGCCAAGCTCTTTAAAAATCACCCAGTCTGAGAAGCACTATTAAAAGAAGAAACTGAAGAGCAGCCAAATTCTTAGCCTGTTGCAAACATTGTATTCTGCAGGCTGTGGTTCAGTTTGCATTGTATTTGTGCGTCAACAAATGCCCTGAAGGAAAGCAAGAATTTACATAAAGTGCAGTGCTTACCAAGGACAACATTCCCAGGAACTGGGTGTGCACAGCCTCCTCTCTTTCTTCCCAGAAAAATCTTTATCTTGAATTGAGCCACGTGGAATAGCTATGCCCCCACTCATTCACATATTCAATGCGCTATGAGCCATACACTGGCAGTAACCATAGATCAACACAGCTGAAAAAAGCACAAGCCAACCCCTCCCCCAGTGAATTCCATACTTTTCTAAGCAGGTTACAGCAGACACGCATCCTTTCCACTCAAGCTTAGCAAATATGAAAAGCTACTTTTGCTGAAACTGATATCCAGCTTCCCATAAGTCTTGGCAGGGAGAGGATTTCACCTTGCTGCTGCAGGCTGGATACCAAGACGGGTATCAGAAGTTCTGTAACTCAGCTTTTTAAGGATGAATTCCAATCAGAGGTATTGCCCTGAACGGAGACAGGAGGTACTAAAAAGGAAACAGCCCAGAAGAATTATTCACATTTGTAAAAATGATTTCATAGTATCACTGCACAAAATAGGATTTGCAGACTCAAAAGCTTAACTATTCCATTTTCCTTGTACTGGAAATTCAGATAATAACGTTATCTAAGATTGATATCTTCCTTACAGACTTAATCTCACTTCTCAGTGAGACAGCAGAGCTTACTTGATAGCATCTGTCTTTGGATGCTCCAGAACTACACTGCTGTGGCACAGCCTGGTCAAACTGTACTCATTCCTACAGCAGAGAGCAACTTAGAGCTGCACTATTCATAAATACACATTTATTTTTCATTAGAAATGCATAATTACAGCATTTAAAAGCATTTTCCCCTAGAAAAGTAGTTAAGCAACAGTACAAACAAAATTGTTAGTCTTCTGCAAATAAACATTTTTCATTACACTGAACAGAAAACACCAGCAAAAGGCTAATACTCGCAGTTATGGGGTTTTTCTTTTTTTTTTTTCCTTTCTTTTTTTTTTAATATTTTCCATTTTTGTTATAAACACCATTGCAAATAAAAAAGCTGTCTGAAGGGTGAAAAATATTTGAGCTCTTGATCTTCTTGATACGTGGTAAAGCAAGTATTGCAAAGCAGCAATACACCTCCCAAGACATTTTGCAGACATTCAAATGGTGTATTTCACAGAAGAAACGACAGGATGAAACATGAATTGAAGTCTCACTGTTTCCATCAGTTGGGTTTCTTTCCAAACTGACTTTTTCCTCCTTAAATATACCTACAGGCAGGTCACGTGTTTGCTTTTTTTTCTGAGGGGTAAATTCTCAACAGACGCAGCAATGCAGCTCCAATTGCAGCAAATGGCTCCGGTTTGTTCTGGGTGAGCACAAACGGATGGTCAGAAACCTGCTGTGTGCACAGGAGCCACTGTCAGCCTATGAGTCCATCTTCCTGGGGCTGCACGACGACTGCAGGGCTCCATTTCCCACCGTGGCTCGCTGACATCTCAGCTCACGCAGCTTTTCACCACTTTCTTATTGGATTTGGATTGCTCCGTGTTCTATCTGCATCTCTGGTTGGATTGCTGACTGGAGGGTGTCAGTGCCCTGCAGAAAGAAAAGGGAGATCAGGAAATCAATACGAAAAACGTTTGTCGCTGATGCAACCAAAGGAGCAAACCACATTAATACAGAGTTCTTCTCTATACCAGTGCAATATCTGCACGAATATCAACTCCACGGTGGAGCTGAAATGTGTGCTTACAAAGGCACTACAAATGGCCAGAAGAACAGAATGGCTTCCATACAAAACCTAAGCAGAAGACTAATGCCCTTCAGGATGGAAAAGAGAAGGCTGAAAGAACAAACCCGTAACAAGGGTCTGTAACATCATGAGTGGCACAAAGAGAGCAAATAGGGAAGAAAAGAAACCTATTTAAAGGTCTCTTCCCAGAAAGGAACCAGCCGTAAGGAGAACCAGAACTAAAGCTGTCCGTGCCCAAGAGGATGTGGGCTGGAGCTGAATGGTGCTACGGAAGAAAAATCCATCAACGGCAACTGCAGGAAGGCCAACAAGTCCCAGGGTGACAAAACTACTGTAGTATAATTATCTGTTTGCTCTGTGCTCCTAATTTTCTCTGCTGGTTCAGGACACGAGCAGGCTGCTGGCCTAACCCCCTGCAGTCATTCTCTGCTCTGTGCCAAATGAGAAGACTGCTACCAATGTTTTTTGCCTCTAAACTCTTCCTAAGGGCCTCAGGTTCTCCCCACTTTCCAAGCCTAAGCAGTCCTCCATGAAGGAAGTTAACGTAAAAGCAATTAAAGGAGGTCTGATCAAAGATGGAGTTGCCCCACATCAGTCACTACTGGGGTAATACTGCAGTACTGCAGGGTAATCCTGCAGCAAATCACCCTTTGGACCAAGTCAGCCAGTGAACAGAAAACCAGACCACGGAGCATGTTAAAGCTATAAAATGAGAAGCATTTCAGAACAGCTGTACTGGCTTGGATAAAGTCCCTCACACCCAATAATCCTTCCCCTGATAGCAGCCAATATCACAAGCACAGATAAACTCTGAGAAAAGGGCAAGTGCTTAGTGGTATTTTCCTGCACACTCCCACAGATTCCGGAGATCTGCCCTGGATGGATTTTCCCTCCATAAATTCATCTAATCGATGCTTTATGTAACGTCCTGGATACAGAAGTGTTTCCGTGGAATTCTTCTTTTATGACAATGTCTTCCCTGCTCTCAGCCCGGCTCTGAGGCTCGATGAACCACAAAGAGGCAGAGGTGGAAATTCAACCTGCGTTCCTCTCCCTTAGGCTTTGCCATACAGCCACAGATTATTTATTCAAGTGAAAATACGGGAGGTTCAAAATCATAAAGCACTGCTTCTATGCGACAACTTGGCTGTGAAATTTTCTCTCCATCTCTCTGATTTATGGCCAGTAATTGCACACCACTACAAGATCTGTACCCAGAGGTAATTCGGCACTTATTTACACATTCAGTAAATTGGTGTCAATAGATCACTGTCAATAGATGAGTGTCAGAGCAGTGAATAATCCTAACATACTGCCACATCTGCTAGCAGGAAAGTCTTCAAGTGATCCAAGTTTTCTCTCCCGGTAGATGAAATCTTAATGGAATTAAAATAGCCACCAAATAATAGGCATAATGGTAATGCTGAGTATTTCTCCAAAATTCAGACTAACGTAGAAGATTGCCCAAAGGGGACAAGAAGCACAACTTAGGTTTGAAATTGCCTGCAGAATGTTAGCACATTAATAGCTTGTATTTATATCTGTTCTATAAGGGAACTAAGAGCCTTTTGGAATGCTTGCCACTCTTAATTCTGCCCACAGCCAACTTGCAGATGCAAAACCACGCATTGCACTGAGAGCACTGAATGGAAGTGTGCAGTTCTGTGTGCTTCAGCTGGAGTCAGAGAAGGGACTCGCTGCAAACAGCTCCCTGAGATTCAAAGTCGTTGAGAACATCTCAGTACCTTGGCAAAGCAGCCCACGAATCCAATCGTTGCTCCAGTCTCGGTGAGAGATACCTCTATGACCTCTCCCTTCTGATGAAGGCCTTTCTAAGCCTGTAGGACTGTTCCACAACATTAGCCAAAAAAGCTACAGCTATCCCCATAACTCCAAGCAACGCAAATTCCAAGTTGGTTTCTCCAATTCATTATCAGATCCTTGGTTTTCAGTTTGTGTAAACCGAGGAAATATTTATGGCAAACTTATTTTTAGTCTGTTTTTCCTTTCATACTTTTCTTATTTCACATTCCTTTTCTGTTTCTCTTCAGCTCTGTATAAATCTGCGGTTAACCACAATACTAAAATCTAACACGGTGCAAAGTGTCCCTGAAAAGAAAAGTAGCTCCTCTGGTGGCTGCCAGTCGTGTGGGAGATGGATGCTGATGTTTATAACCACAGCCTCCTGCCATGGGAGGTGGGAGCCAAGGGGGGAGCACAGCCTCCAGGAGCAGACCCAGCCCGTGGGTGCTGGATTTGAGATCTCCAAGGCATGGAGTGAGGACAGCAGCACGGCAGGAGAGAAACACCTCTTACTATCTGATGCCTATATGCCCGTTAGTTGCATGGGACCAGCAGTACTCTTGGTACAGCTTCAAGAAATAAGGCACGACCCATCAGCAAGGCTCTCGTTGTCCAGCACTATTACAAGTGACTGCGAATCGATGACTGAGGAGGCCTGAAAGCACAGAGACAAACCTAGGGAAGGAACATGACTTCCTCCATTTCTTACGCAGCTCAAGAGACCCAACATCCAAATGTTTGCAGCCAGATCAGAACTCTCTGCAAAACTGCGTATCTATCAGACAAAATTCCCTTCTAAGATTGGCTGCTGTGAATAGCATTATATTCTGGCTGGTAAGGCAATACACCTCTGACAAGCACTAGGCATTCTCTAGAAAAGGAGCCACTACAGTCGGGTTCATGGAACAACGTGTAATCACCTTCAGAAAAATCTGACAACTGCCTTTTTGTCTTCCATAACTGCCAGCAGGAGTGGCTTTGAGTTGGTGCTAGCCTCAGCTACGTGACTGCTCAAACAGATCAAGAAAAGACATAAAACACACCTCCTCCTCCTTAACTGAGACCATCAAGCGTTCACTTACAATTGCATACATTGCAGCTCCCGTGGGAAATCCAGGCTGCGGATCAAAAGAACTGGAAAACTTCTGTCAGAAAGAGAATAACCTTTTTAAGAGAAACCTCAGTCTGAAAAACACTTTTTGGATAGTTTCCAAGCCAGTTTTTTCTCCACGTCCTGTAAATATGGCTCTCAGCCCTCAAGGATGCAGAAAAACAATGGTGACCAAAATAACTGTTCTCTGGGGGCACCGAGCAACAACGCCGAAGAAGGAATAGTCAATCACCAGTTTTACCTTTAAGAAAATTATGTTTCTTATTATAGATGGCTCTATTTTTTTTTCCTAAGCAGTTTGGAAATAGGATCATATTCTCAAATGAATGCTTGTGCCCATCCACACCTGAAGAAGATGACACTTCTGCTAAATTTTGTATTTTTGGTTTGGAAACAGGGCCGTGAACTCATTCAGATAGCTCATGTGGCAGATGTTTCAAACGAGTTAAGTACATTGAGAAGGTAAATAAATATATATGGCAGATATATATATGTTGACACATAAACGCAGGCATACTTGACTGGTTGCAGAGTGGTCTGTCACTGGTGTGAGCTGCACATACTGGACTTGGATATCGCTGCCTTGCAGTGGGGATCCATCAACTCCTCCTGATGCAGGCTCAGCAGATGCAACAGCTATCAGCTGAGCACCCTGCAACACCTGCAAGCAGAGCAAAGGAGAAACAGCTTGTGAACAGGCACAGCCAGAAATGCATTAGGAAACAACGACCTGAAAACAGAGGCAAAGCCAAAATTAAACAGAAATTTAAGAAAACTTGTCTTCAGTAACAGTTTAAACAATACGGGTCTCCAAGAGGACGTGGTACACACACGGAAGATTCTCACACAAAGTTCTCACTGCATTTTGCCTTACAAGACCTGGATTCCTGCAGCTGTTCCCTGGAAGGGCTAACAAGCCCCATACCTGGAAACGTTTGGCCCTCTTATGATCCCTAACACAAAATAAGTCATCCCCTACCTGTATCAACACTAGCAAAGGACTATATCACCCTGGTGGCCTATGCTAAATAGATCAATTCTAATTCCAATTCATTTGCACAATAGTTAGCACACTAATTCACCAGTCCACTTACCACATCTCTATTCTCTGGGTGCATCCAATTCCCCCCAGCTCTGCTGAGCTGTACTTGCAACCCAAACAAAAGCAAGGCTTGTAGATTTAAGAAGCCACACGGAAGGAAAAACCAAAGCAGTGATTGTGCTGCACAGTTTGTAAGTATGAGAAGTGTTCTGTTTCACAGATTGCAGCTATGAAAACTGATCTGCTTATTCTGCCAGCCAGCAGATGAGCACAGCAGTGCCGTCAGCTCAGGTTCCTCATAGGATAAACTGGTGGGAAGCTGCTTCAGAAACCTCTTTTGCTTGGTTTTATGATGGCAGAAAGAGAGAGGGGGAAAACAAAAGGCAGACATTGAGTTCACTTCTAGCATTCTTGCACCTTCAGGTTGAAGATAAGAGGTTTGAAGGCAGGTTTGCTGGGGGAAAAAAAAAGGACTTGTTCTGTTTTGCTTGTTTGCTGTTGTCTCTTTGCATGGAAATATTGTGCTCCTGTGGCTGGGAAACATTTCAAAAGATGTTTTCTTGGCAAACTGCTTCCAATGAGAGATAGTGGCTTTCCTAAGGAGTGGGCTGTTGCCGCCCTCATGATAAACGACACCTCCCTAAGCACTGCAAAAGATAATTGATGAAGGATTCATAATTCTGCTAATGATTATTGCAAAGGGTAAGTGGGACAGACCGAGCAGTCTGCACTGCAGTAATGTCAATAGCACACAGCCATCTCCCAACTAATGTGTTCACTGTTATATAAATAGAGAGACAGAGCCAAGATACTTATTCTCACAGCCAAACACATTCAACTTTCGACAATTTGTTACAGCAATGTTTATCTTCCCATTGCACGTGAAGGTGTAGATTTACAAATTACTGCTAATGAATGCTCGCAGCCACTGACTCTACACATCTGCATGCTGACTGCTTGAGGCTGAGTGCCCCGATAGCCAAAGAGCAACAGAAGAGCAGATGCTTCACCCAAAATTGCTTGCTTAAATGCATCCCTGCAATGAGAGCAATTGTAATTTACTACTTGAAACACAAATCAGAATAAAATATACATACGTGAACAACAGCAAGTCCCCCGATCTCATTTGAAAACGCAGCCAAAAAATACAAGTTCCATTTTGGTTTCTATATGCTGTGAGTGCCGTTTTGTTTTTAACCACCTCTGGTATTTGAACCACAACGCTCAAAAGATGCCTTTCAAACGAAGGAAAGAGAACCGAGAGCAAAAATAACATTCTGAACAAAAGCCTCCCTTACCCAAGTATGATTTCTCAGCTGATGGGAGGGTGGGTGGCCGTGAAGGAGTGGGCAGCACAGCCCCTCCTTGGGGAGTGTGGGAGGCCAAGAGGTGACCCCTAGGAAGGACCTTTGGGGTGTTGGCAGGGTTTTATGGGGATCTTGGATGTTCTGAGATACCTTCTGCACCAAGCTGCAAAAGGATGCTGCGTTCTGTTTTTACAGGAGTAAGCAAAAGCCTCTTGTCCTGCACTATTTACTTTGGAACGACATGATACACCTCATCAGAACTACACGGCAGTCCGTCCTATTGATTGTCTGCAGCTCTAAAATGTATTTGGTCTCAGTAACTTCTGAAACAAACCTCAGGCTGACTGCAAGCAACCAAACCAGCCCCTTTCTTGCCCTCTTTGACAACAAAGAAGCCTACAGCTGCTAACAGCAGCAGCTTCGCTGTCTTAGGATGCGCTCCCAACTGCACCCCTTGCAAAGGGAATCTCATCACAGAAGCATAGAATGGCCTGGGTTGAAAAGGACCACAGTGATCCACCACTGGTTGGATTTGATGACCTTTAAGGTCTTTTCCAACCTGAGCAGTTCTAAGTCACCCTTTCTAGCTCTCTCCAGCAGCACCACTGATCAACACATGGTTCAGAAAACACCAATGATGCCAATGGAGTGGGAAGTTTGCTTATGGTCCTGGGGGCTCTAAAATACTTTCTTTCATAGTATTCAACGTGCCACAGAAAAGGAGGCACCCCAATTTCCTTTCACACAGGCTAGGAAGGTCCAAGATGAAGAAATTCTCTCCAAATCCCAGGCTGTCATGCAGACAGGCAAACAAATGGGAAAAAGAACAGAGTTCATACAGCAGACCGCAGATAAAAGCCCCAGCCCTACGACTTCAATCTGCCCCATCTCACAGTTCTGTCGTGCTTGCCACAAATTCTATAGGAAACTAATGTGCAAAAATTACATACATCAAGGGATCAACAGCTTTATGTGGCACAGTGGAGGAGTGGGGGAACAGAGACCTCAGCAGTAGGTGCAGGTGTGAGGATATGGCTTTTCTTTGGCTGCTCACTTGGCTCCCAGACCAATACTTCAACTTTGTGATTCTTACCCGCCCTTGACCTTAAAATAAAGGAACTGTACCACAAAAATTAACAATCTGCCCTGAAAATGAACCTCTTTTCCCAACTCCGCTGGGCTCCTCTAACATCCTGCCTCGCTGCTCCAAAACAGGTAACAGAATATGGTTAAACTGAAAAATAATAAACTTTCCTTCTAACAGAAGGGATTAATTCGTGCTCTGGACACCCACAAACAAGCAGCTTGGAGGCAGCTTCCACTCACTCAGCACATAACCCAGCAGGACCCGACTCTGAGTTTTTGCTCCTGCTCACTTGGGTTGGTGAGGGCTCAGATCAGGGCTAAGAACAGCCCTACAGAAGTCCACCCTTAAATTAACAAGCAAACCTTAAAAAGTGTATTTTTTTTTTAATAGTTCAGGGGAATATTTGGAAAAAAGGCATGTTTGGCTATCTGCTACTGCTGGATGGTAGCGTAAGGTGTTGTCTTGACAGTGATGAGATGTTCAGCTCTCAGAGCCTTTACGTCACCTTTACATTCCCCTCTTTGCAGATGCTTTGAAGCTACCGATGCTCTCCAAGAGCTGTTGGTGGCCTGGCCTGATCTTCCCAACCTTCACATCTCAATGATGACAGCACTGCACCCTGCTGCACAACCCACCTCAACCACAAAGCACCAGAGAGCCCCATCCCTCACCGTACCCAGCAGCTCTCAGAAGAAGAAAATGTTCCCTGACTCCTTCCGAAAGAACACTAAGTGCGTTTCTATTAGTTTTGATTTTCAACCATCCTAGAAATGCCAGAAGGAAAAGTATTTTGCTCAGCTGTTTATAATGATGTGTGAACTCCTGGCATTGCCCGCGCACACAACCGCAGCCTCTCTGAGCAAACATTTGCTTTCCTTAGAGCTTCCAATGAGACTCAAGAGCCAATGGGTCTGATAAAACAACCTGAGGGTTGGACACATCCCTCCTGTTCTCTTGAAGCATTTTGTGCCCATAGACATCACCCACCCCTCCTCACAGCAACACGTGGGCTGGATGGGACCCGCAGAGCCTTGCAGCAGCATCCAGCTGTGCTCCCATTCACCCTGACCTTGGCCTTCCTCCCCTTGGGTGCTTTTTGCTTCCTTCCCCCTCTTGTTGTTTTTCTACCCTTCTCTTTTCAAAGTCTTGATGGATGGAAACATGAAGGCTTTGAGTCGGGAGGTCCCAGATTTCTATTTTTGGTCCCGTCTTCAGTGAGTTTGCCATGAAAAATGTGGTAATAATAAAATTAGTAGTAATAATGAAAACCAGCAATCTTCTCTGCTCTCCTCCTTTCCATTTTTGCCCATAACTAATAGTTCCATTCAACATTCATCTGCCAGGGCAGGAAATAATAATAATAATGAAAAAGAAAAAAAAAAAAGATTTAAATATAATAGATTTTCCTTTGGTTTCTTCCAAGATTATTCAAACACAATTTCCAACCATGGTTCAGTTCCTATCATCACATCCTCTGCTGATTTTACTTATCACAGAAAATGGTTCATCTTTTTAAAGCCTTTTAAAGTCATTCTCTATCCCCCGACCCTCCAATAAAGGTAATTGTTTCGGGATAACTGAAGTTTGCTTAGTGAAAAACCAAACCCCTCAGTCTGGTCCTTGACAGATTGAGCCTTCTGAAACACATTCTTGCTACTGTTGTTGTGTGCTTTTTTATTAATCTAGGCAAGCCCATATGTTTGCCTACCTATAAAAAGCTCAAAAACAAGACACTGGGATTTCAATGCCTTTTTTTTTTCCACCGTTTCTTCCCATTCCTGCTGCAAGAATGCAATAAAAGACGACTTTTCTTTAAATAATGAGACTGAACCACTGAAAGGCTGGTTGTTCGTGGATGGGACACAGCAGAAAATGCTGTCACACTGATGCACAGCACCTGAGCAAACGCCGCACGTGAGAAGTGAGTTTTGCAGAGGAAAATGGGAAGCTCTGTGGGATGCTGCAGCTAAAACACAGGTGAAAGGACAGTTTGGGCACAAAAGTGTACAGACAGCAATGGCTTTGTTGCCCTCCTGTCATCACTGATACATCCAAAGGACGAGCACAGCGCCAAGCAGGTTGCCAAAGCTTTGGCAGCACACTGTTCTCAGCACAATGCATTACTTTGCATTTGGCTTAATTAAAAGGCGGGTGGAGTCAATCACATCAGAAAGCAAAGATGACCTTTTGCTTTCATTACTGAGTATTTCATTACACTGCCCTTA